AAACAACTACACGGCAGTGAGGAGAGAGGCAGAAAGAAATTTTGAAAAAGGGATTGCGGACAAATGTAAAACAGAACCAGGTCTATTCTATAAATTCATAAACAACAAATTGCAGGTAAAGGATAATATTCAGAGGTTGAAAATGGGAAATAGATTCACGGAAGATGAAAAGGAAATGTGTGAAACACTAAACGAAAAGTTCCAAAGTGTGTTTGTACAAAATGAAATCTTTAGGGAACCAGATACAGTAAGAATTCCAGAGAACAACATAGAACACATAGAGGTGTCTAGAGACGAAGTGGAAAAAATGCTCAAGGAGCTCGGTAAGAACAAAGCAGCTGGCCCAGATGGCGTTTCACCATGGGTTCTGAGAGAATGTGCATCTGAGCTCAGCATTCCACTTCACCTGATTTTTCAGGCATCCCTGTGTACAGGAATCGTAGCAGACGGGTGGAAACAGGCTAACATAGTTCCAATCTACAAAAGTGGCAGCAGGGAAGACCCCCTCAATTATAGACCTGTATCATTAACAAGTGTAATAGTGAAAGTATTGGAAAAACTAATCAAAACTAAATGGGTAGAACACCTAGAGAGAAATGATATAATATCAGACAGACAGTATGGTTTTCGATCTGGAAGATCCTGTGTATCGAATTTACTCAGTTTCTATGATCGAGCCACAGAGATATTACAGGAAAGAGATGGTTGGGTTGACTGCATCTATCTGGACCTAAAAAAGGCTTTTGACAGAGTTCCACATAAGAGGTTGTTCTGGAAACTGGAAAATATTGGAGGGGTGACAGGTAAGCTTCTATCATGGATGAAAAATTTTCTGACTGATAGAAAAATGAGGGCAGTAATCAGAGGCAATGTATCAGAATGGAGAAATGTCACAAGTGGAGTACCACAGGGTTCAGTTCTTGCACCAGTGATGTTTATTGTGTACATAAATGATCTACCAGTTGGTATACAGAATTATATGAACATGTTTGCTGATGATGCTAAGATAATAGGAAGGATAAGAAATTTAGATGACTGTCATGCCCTTCAAAAAGACCTGGACAAAATAAGTATATGGAGCACCACTTGGCAAATGGAATTTAATGTTAATAAATGTCATGTTATGGAATGTGGAATAGGAGAACATAGACCCCACACAACCTATATATTATGTGAGAAATCTTTAAAGAATTCTGATAAAGAAAGAGATCTAGGAGTGGTTCTAGATAGAAAACTATCACCTGAGGACCACATAAAGAATATTGTGCAAGGAGCCTATGCTATGCTTTCTAACTTCAGAATTGCATTTAAATACATGGATGGCGATATACTAAAGAAATTGTTCATGACTTTTGTTAGGCCAAAGCTAGAATATGCAGCTGTTGTGTGGTGCCCATATCTTAAGAAGCACATCAACAAACTGGAAAAGGTGCAAAGACATGCTACTAAGTGGCTCCCAGAACTGAAGGGCAAGAGCTACGAGGAGAGGTTAGAAGCATTAAATATGCCAAAACTAGAAGACAGAAGAAAAAGAGGTGATATGATCACTACATACAAATAGTAACAGGAATTGACAAAATCAACAGGGAAGACTTCCTGAGACCTGGAACTTCAAGAACAAGAGGTCATAGATTTAAACTAGCTAAACACAGATGCCGAAGAAATATAAGAAAATTCACCTTCGCAAATAGAGTGGTAGACGGTTGGAACAAGTTAAGTGAGAAGGTGGTGGAGGCCAAGACCGTCAGTAGTTTCAAAGCGTTATATGACAAAGAGTGCTGGGAAGACGGGACACCACGAGCGTAGCTCTCATCCTGTAACTACACTTAGGTAATTACACTTAGGTAATTACACTCGTTCGGAACATAATTAGACATTGATAGGCATATGTCTGGGTGGGGAATTTTATTGTGAGTTCAGTGATATCAAAATAAGCGCTGTAGGATGACTGTGAGGCTGGCAACAAACGAAAAGAGTATGAACATTTACTTCCTGTTTGGGTGTCACGGCGAGTCATCTTCGTGTTTATTTACTTCATGGTGGGATAGCAAATGCTTTGGCGACATTTTATGCATATGATCTTGTAGAGAATTTTATTGCCAACGCATTGATACCAAATTGAAAAACGTAGCTCGAGAATTGATGTTAGGAGCGTGAAAAGATTATACACTTTTTTGTGTTTACGCTTGAGCGCGCAGAACGCCGCGCGCACAAGGCACTTTTTTTTTTCACCAGTGCCGCGCGCACTAAAGTGTTAAAGGTGAGAAGAAACGAGGGATATTTTAACTATGTATGAAATCTTAAGGGAATAGATAAAGCAAATATAGGAAGTCTATATACATTATTAACCCTTAAACTGCGCAACACACCTGCAGGCCCATGTCTGGTTTGCTCAACGTGCCTCCAGGTAATTGTATTTTTCATGTTCCGTTCAAAACTTCCGCGGCTACATAGAGTTCATGGTATGGACGACCAGGGAATGATGACGTCATGCGCGAACTTGCAGACCTCATAGCAGCCAAAGTACGTACAATTTCGACCTTCTGTTACTATACTCATACTCAGGGAAGGGTTTTTGACACTTTCAAAACAAAAAAGAATTTTTTTTCAGAGAATTTATTTCCTGTGCACTGGAGGGGATGGTCATGTTTGGAAGCCGAGCAGTTGAGGGGTTAAGAGGTTGGACAAAGGGACATCGGTGGAAGCTGGAGAAGCAATTGAGTCGAAGAAATGTAAAGAAGTTCTTGTATACCGTATGGGTGGTAAGCAAGTACAGTGCATTGAAAGAAGAGGTTGTTGAAACAAATTTCATCCACAACTTAAAATACAGTGGCACCTCGACTTACGATTGCCCCTACTTACAATAATTTCGAGTTACGATGTAAATTTCAACGAAAAATGAGACTTGACATCCAATGGTGTCGTCGACTTCCAATATTTGTTGGTACACGTTCGGGTCGACCGAGCGCGTGGTTCCCGGTCACGCGGTCCAACCTGCCTCAGTGTACTACAGCTACCCGCTTAGTGATGATCGCGCCTATAAGAAATTCTGTGGTGATTTTTTCCCATTTTTGAACAAAGTAATTATTATATATCATGCCATGAGTCCCAGGAAAGTCAGTGGTAAGGCTCAGCATATGAGATCCCATGTAAGAATGACCATAGAGCAGAAACAAGAGATCATTCATAAATATGAAGATGGTGTGCGGGTTCTTGAACTAGCTAGGCAGTACAACAAATCTCAGTCAACGATATCCACCATACTGGCCAAGTAAAAGGACATTATGAGTGCTAAAGTGGCATAAAGCATATCAATAATCACAAAACATAGCCCACAAACACTTGAGGATGTTGAACAGTTATTATTAATTTGGATACACAACAAGGAGTTAGCGGGTGATAGCTTTTCAGAGGCCATCATTTGTGAAAAGGCAAGAAAATTGCATGAAGACCTTTTAAAGAAAACCCCTGAAACGAGTGATGCAGAAGTGAAAGAGCGAGCAGGGAATGGTTTGAGAAATTTAGAAAAAGAAGTGGAATTCATAGTGTTGTGAGACATGGGGAGGCTGCCAGCTCAGACAAACCAGCGGCTGAAAAGAGTCATTGGTGAATTTAAAGAATTTGTGCAAAGTGAGGCATACCTACCACAACAAGTGTTTAATTGTGACGAGACAGGGCTATTCTGGAAAAGATTGCCAAAGAAAACATACCCCCCAAGGAGGAGAAGTCATTGCCTGGACACAAGCCTATGAAAGATCGGTTTACTCTTGTGTTGTGTGGTAATACGAGTGGCGATTTGACAGCTGAGGAAATTTCTTCAGGGGAGGATGTGCCAGTACAGAATGTCTCTTCCTCAACAATTAAGAAAAATGTGTGCAGCATGGGAAGAATTGCAAACCTTTGCTGAAACGACTCACCCAAATCAAGCTGCAGTAGGTCGTTGCCTTAACCTATTCAATGACACTGTGATGCATCATTACAGACTAATGTTAAAATGAAGGGAAAAACAAATGTCTCTTAACAAATTTGTAGTGAGACAAACAAGCACTGAACCACAACCAGGTCCTAGTGGTATTCAGGCAAAACGTAGGAGAGAGAGAGTACCCCAGAGAAAACATCACTGCCTGATGTGATAATGGAAGGGGACTCCCCTTCCAAACAGTAACAACCCTCCTCCTCCCCCCTTCATCACCATCTACCATATGCCATCAAGAGCCCTCCATAAAGGTAAGAGAAACTTAGGTACTGTATTGTAGTTAGAAAAAATATTGTATTCAGTATAAAATATATTTGTATGTTAATATTTTGGAGGGTGGGGAACGGATTAATTCAATTTCCTTTATTTCTTATGGAAAAATCGCTTCGACTTACGATATTTCGACTTATGATCCGTCTCTGGGAATGGATTAGCATCGTAAGTCGAGGCCCCATTGTACTGCATGATGAAAATATTAATGCTGCGAGAAGTAATTAGCGTGACGGATATAAACGGCTAGAGGGTGAGGCATATAGAGAACTAGATCTCACTCCCCAGTCATCACTAATACGTGAACATTGATAGGCAAGCACTATCATTCGTTTGCAGGCATTCTCATCCCAGACTTCCTTAATTGTATATCACTCGTCTGATAATATTTACTCCACCTCACTACTACTCATTATCATCTACTTTGATCTTGGTCTCACATAATCAAGCACATCAAACTAGCAAGCTAAGAAATTTGGTCACTCCAAGCTTCCTGATTTTTGTCAAATTCCACACAGCCAACCAAACCTGCATCTCCTTTCTCTTCCTAAGCAGGTGCAGGCCCCAGGTCCAAGGTTATTTTGACCTAAGGTGGGAAGAACTTTGGGATGATGGGTCCCATGTCCAACTCCCCCACTCCTATAATGCGAGGGATGCAAAGCTGATTGAACCACATAGGAATTCCTAATGCTTTTCAATCACTGTATACTTTCATATCAATAAACATTCTAAGCTGTTAAAAAACCGTCCTTACCAATCTGAGCGGAGTGAGTTCGCTAATTTCTGATCTGTGCCAAAAAGTCCAGTTTGTGAGTTATACTTGAGGTTGTCACGTGGAAACAGTTGCAGCCATGGCAAATTGGGGTACTGCCACACAAGACAACACTGGTAGAACTGAGCATTAGCTGAAGTGTCCAGTGTACGGTCTTCACTTTCATCTGATAGGGAACTTAAGCACCTCACGAACCCTGTAGTTCCTGAAGCTTCTTCCGAGGTCTGAAAATAAAATATAGAAAGCTGAGTGTACTGAAATGTCCGTTTCTGAGAGAAACCGTGCTCGCTTTCCTAGCTAGTTGTGCCCACAACCCACAAAATACTACGATTGTACTAGGCTTTGAGTGACCTCTCTGCCAGTGCAGTGTGGGGTGTTGGAGGTGTGATGTGAACTCTTGCATCACTGTGATGCAGGCTCAAGTCAAAGGCAGTCATGCCTCTAGTGATTATTCTTGGGAACAATAATGGAGCACATTATGACCTTCCCTCAAACTCATTAAGAGCTCGGCTTGCAGCTGAGGACAGAGATTGATAGGCTAAGGGAGCAAGTAAAAATTTTAATTGAGTGCAAGGATATAAAACAGGATATCCAGCAGAATAGTTTGAGTATAGATGTAAAAGAGGAGGCAGGACCACACAGAAGGATGGAAAACTAATAATCAGGAAGGAGGGTTGAAACATCATGCAACTTCTCTGTTTTATTGTAAGAGAACATGAGTAAGAATCAAGATAAGAACATTAGCAGGAACTCTGTAAACATAACCCTTAAATTGCGCATCGCATCATATGATGCTTTGGAGTACTACCCAAGATTTAAACGGCCCACGGATACACGGGGTTCACCACACCTTGTCAAGTTTTATGAAATATATGATAAAGGCACACAAAAATTTATACCAAAACAGAGACGCACAACTAGGAAACAGGATTGGTTCAACAAAAAGTGCGAGAGGGCCAGAGACCAAAAGGCACAAAAATGGAATCAATACAGGAAGAGGCCAAACCCCCAAACATACCAGCGATACAAAGATGCGAGAAACAACTACACGGCAGTGAGGAGAGAGGCAGGAAGAAATTTTGAAAAAGGGATTGCAGACAAATGTAAAACAGAACCAGGTCTATTCTATAAATTCATAAACAACAAATTGCAGGTAAAGGATGATATACAGAGGTTGAAAATGGAAAATAGATTCATGGAAAATGAAAAGGAAATGTGTGAAACATTAAACGAAAAGTTCCAAAGTTTCACATAGAGGTGTCTAGAGACGAAGTGGAAAAAATGCTCAAGGAGCTAAATAAGAACAAGGCAGTTGGTCCATATGGAGTTTCACCATGGGTTCTGAGAGAACGTGCACCTGAGCTCAGCATTCCTCTTCAACTGATTTTTCAAGCATCCCTGTTTACAGGAGTTCTAGCTGATGTGTGGAAAAAAGCTAACATAGTTCCAATCTACAAAAGTGTAAGCAGGGAAGACCCCCTTAATTA